AAGTATGTAAAACTACTTTTATTAACATATAAAAATTTGATTAACCAGATACTCAATATATTTGTACTTATGTATTTGCATGTATATAAATATAAATTTATATTAAATATTTATTTATAAAATATTGGGAAGTTTCTATCATTTCCAGGTAAAATAAATATTTATCAAGAAAATTGCAATATTATTTACACGTTTTAAATAAAATATAACAAAATAACTATAGGCTAAAGAAGTATCGCTGGAAGCGCCACCACTCGGATGTTATCATGGTAACAATAGTACAACTTTTAATAATCAGCTGTCAAACTCTTACGTTACAAACGAGTGTTTTTGAGAATAAAGCCGGAAAATGTTAAAAAATATCGGGAAAAAACCGTGGCTCGATTTGTGTATTTCGAGAGGAAATCCTGGGTTGAGTTTTTACCGGTTTTCCAATAAACAGTGTTAATCTGAATGAAGAAATAAATTGCATACAGTCTCTGTAAATATAAATTGTACCTATTAGATACAATAAATACACATTTTAGTAGTGATTAACGTGAAAAGTGTAAACATTTCAATTCAATAAAAATCCTCAAACAAATAAATCGTCTAAATTTAAACAGCATTTAGCATTATTAAAAGCGTTGATTAAGAAAATCTACACTCAACGGTAAAATACCATATATTATGTAATATATATATAATATTATATTAGCATGAATTCGTAGGTATGTTTTTTTGTTTAAAATGCAGTTGTCGGCGTTTTTTAGAGAACTCAAATATAAAAATGGTTGATTTTAAGGTTATGTTTGTGCAAAAATTATTTTTTACTAATTTCTTAAAAATGTCCAAACTTAAATATAAATTATACTTATTAGGTATTCTGCACCAACAAATGTACTTACCGTATTGGATCCTTTGGCAAAACATGAAAATGCAACGATTTAGTTCTTGAATTTTATTTACAATTAAAAACACAATAATTCACCATGATCCCTTAGATAAAATACACACACTAACGTAACTATATAAGCATTTAAGCGTTTGTTTTCTTAATCAATGATATAAGGAATCGAAATCGAAATCGAGTACTAAACAAGTTTTTTCCTTGCAACGTAAAACACAAATACAACGCGATTTAGCTGTGCAATTGAACAAAATTTGTAGAGTAAGACTTCTGCCTTCCTCTATTTTGTGAAAAAACTATATTTTTATTTAAAAATTATGTATAATCTGCGCGAGTTACTTCCACACATGATACATGATATCCGAGATAATATCATGCTTCCATACATATACCGCTTAAGCCTATATTTTGTATAGATGACCTTGTTCCAGTTTCTAAAGGAAAATTTGTTGTTTTGGTGTATGCGCATAGTCAGTTCATAAGTGGGGGATTTAAAATATATGATACCATAGCAGAGCTGTGCGGTACTCGAGTACAAGTACTCAAACACTGTACTCCAAGTACTTTCGTTGTACTCGGTACTCAGTCCCGAGTACTTTAATTTAAATGTACTTATACTTGTACTTGATACATTTAAGATTGCAAAAATGTACTCGAGTACTTGCCCGTGTACTCGAGTAATTTCACGTGTACTCGGTACTTCCAAGGTAAACAATGAGTACATTTTTATGCGGTAAGGTCAAATTACGGACATGCTGCCCGAGGCAGCCTGCCTCACACGACAGCCTTAAGACAGCCTCAATCAATAAATAAAAAGACACACGAAAGAGCATTGAAAGAAAGGTTTTTACTTGGATATGAAATGTAATTTTGTTTATATTTTGGTAGAAATAAGGTGAATATTTCTCAAAAAGATAATTAAAAAATAAAGCTAAGCAAAAACATATAAGATACTAGCCGGCCTTGATAATTAACATAAAGCAAAATATCAATATGTGATGCAGGAAATATTCCGGCTAGTATTTAGTTTTGCACTAGTGATTCTAAATTGTTCTCGGGACTCGTATGGGTACTAGAGTACAACGGTACTGTACTTCTACTTGGTACTCGAGTACTTTTATATAAGAGTACTTGTATTCAGTACTCAAATACTTTTTCATTGTACTCGGAACAGTTCTGTACCATAGACATCAAATAACATGAGATAGATAAATTAATACGACAAAGTATGATGCGAATTGTAAACTAAATAAAACTTAGGTTACCTATATCAAATTTTTCTAAATCATTAGCTTACATAGCCTGGGTTAAGCTTACAAACATTTCTGTGATTTTGCATTATATGCATGCATATTATGTAAAATCCACTAAAAATCTTGTAAAAACAATGGAAAAAAAGCCAAAACAATTGATATACAACAGAACAACAACAAAAATGGATAATTATAAAAACCATCTATATATTTATATGTCTATCATAAAAACCTTTTGGCTATGATCCGATAATCGTGATCAAAATACGATGTTGCCAAATTCTTGCTTTTATAAATATGCCATTATAAAATCTAAAATATCATCATTTTGTGAGTTTATTATTGTTAAATCCTTTTTTTTCATAAAATTTATATACAATTTATTAAACTTCTTAAATAGGAACAAAAATATGTTATTTTTTTTAAACCGGCAATGCAGCTGACGCATGCGCCCGTCACTTCCGTCGCCTGCTAAAATGTTACAAAGTGCCAAAAGAACTTTATGAGTGTTCTCTTACTTCGCTAGTACTCAACCAGTACTGGCTTTCCTGTACTGGCACAGTACTGCTTTTCAGTACTGACAGTACTAAAATATCATAACAGCCACTACTTTGCCTGTAAGGGCAAACTAGTACTGGCGAGGTACCAAATTGTTTGTTAATAGGAGAAAAAAACATTATTACTACGCCTGTTCTCAATCAGTACTGGTTTTCTTGTACTGGCACAGTACTGCCTTACCAGTAGGTACTAAAATATCAATTGCCCTAGGGCTCAAGAGAGACTTAAATCGGCGTTGCATATTATGAAATTCCAATTTCTTAAGAAATAATAATTATTACTGATCATTGTCCGGCAACTTTGACAAAAACGCGAGCTTCGGCTTCTTTTAACAAATAAATACCAAATATCTCAACAAAAGTGCACTGGTGTATTTTAAACGAGTCTCTTGAGTTTAAGAGAGTACAACTGTATTCACTGCCCTTGTTGGTTCATTACGTGGACCATAAAAATTAGGTAATCTTCTATGCGTTTTGAAGACAGATTTTCAAAATAAGTTTTAAAGGTTTTGAAGCGTTTTTATGTGAAAATTCCACACCTGTAATTTTTAACCAATCAAAACGTGTATTTTTGATAGATCACCATGGCAACGGTTGAATTTTAGTGGAAATTTTTTCCTCGTGGGTACCCAACAGCGAATTATACTGGAAATTTTTTGACGTTTATAATGACAGAATATTTTTTTGACAATCTGGTTTTTATTTGTTTACATGATAATTTTGATACATTTCCATTACAAAGTTTAGATGTTTTCTATATTCGTTGGACACCTCCTTTCTTCTTAATGGCGAAAATGCAGGAATTGAAATAAATTAAATGTCTATGTCTAATGAAATATATATAATATTTAGACACTATTCTATTCACCTTTTTTCCATTTAGCACTTTGAGTTTTGAATAGTTAAGATGCAAATATTCGTGAACAATTCAAAACAAATTTTCTTTCTTCAAGAAGGAGCCACAATCCTCTAATAATGCGGGTAAATAAGTCATTGCACGATGATTGATCATTACAGCAGACAATTTCACATTTTTTTACGTCGTGCCGCCTGACAGCTTCAAAATTGAAATAACTTTTAGGTTGGGATTGACTTAGTTGCCATGGTATAGTTATAACTAAATAATCAAGTCGAGGTCAAGTTAAATCAAAAAATAAATTTTAATTATTTAAACACAATTTGGTGTGGAATTTTCTTACCGAATACCACACGAGGTCAAATTAAATCCGGAAATTTTTTCTCCCTCATGAATATTTTTAGAAAATTATCCCTCGTCTTCGACTCGGGATAATTTTCAAAATATTCATGAGCTCGAAAAAATTTCCGGAAATAATTTGACCTCTAGTGGTATTACTAGTGAAAATTTATTTATTATTTTTGTCAAATCTTTCTGGACATGTTAAAAATGTAAGCGGTTTAAGAGTTATTCTTGTTAAAAGTTCTACCTGCCTTAGAAAATACCATTTACTTTTACAGTTAAATTATATTATTATTAAAATGATTACAAATTAATAAATTTAATTAAATGGAATTTATTTAATATATAAATCACATTTTATGCAGCTTTGCTACAATAGAGATTTTAATTAAGTTTTAATTATAAATACAATATTATTATGCTGGAAACCCATTTGGCCCACGCCACCCTACGCTACGCGACGTTTTGTTATGCAGAAATTTCAAACAGGTTTCAATGCAATACATACTTACTTGTCCCATGCCACCCGACGTCGAACGACGTTTCGAAAATCAAATTGTTTTGAATTTTAAAGAGACGTGTGGAGTCCACACTGTGGACGCGTGTTGTCCCCCTACATGCAGATACACAAGGAGTGCGCATGTTCTGTAAACGGTTTTCAAACATGGATGAACAAATTATTGAAAAAGTGCGTTCATATGAGTTTCTGTACAATCAACATTAAAGAAATTTTGTTTTTTATTTATAATAATAGCAACAGCATACAACTCTAGTTCAGATTCACCCATTTTCTTTACCAAAACGAACAATACTGATACCATTGAGTAAAGAATCTTACTCAATGCTGATACTAATAATTATATAAAGCAATTTTATTTTATGTTTATCATAAGACATGGCGTAGCGTATTACTAGTGTGCACGGTGACTCGAAAACGTGAACCCACATGAGTCGACGTCGAGTAGCATGGCGTAGCGTGGCGTGGGCCAAGTGAGTTCTTAGAATTACAATACGATATTTTATATTATGTTGCAACAAATTAACAAGTATATATATATATATATATATATATATATAATCAAAAACTTATTTTACCCGTAGGTGTTAAGTTAAGTTATGTACAAATCCTGTCCAGCTGTTCTTGTCTCTTGCCATTGTTCTTGCTTCATTCCATGTCTTGTTCCTCTTTTCTAGGTTTTCTGCTACTACATCATTCCATGTTTTTTTCGGTCTGCCTCTCGGTCTTTTCTGTATTGTTTTTGTTTGCCATATCCTTTTTGCCTGTCTGTCCTCTTCCATCCTCACCATATGACCAAACCATTTCAGTTGTTGCTTTTTTATGCTGTCGAGTATTGGTTCCACATCTAATTCTGCCCTTACTGTTTCGTTGCGTATTCTGTCCCTTCTAGTTAATCCCTTCACTGCTCTCAGGTATCTCATTTCGCTTGCTTGTAATTTGTTTTTCTGTTGTTTTGTTAACGTCCAGCTTTCGCTTCCGTAAATTAGTGTTGGTTTAAATATAGTCTTATACACTGTTAGCTTCGTTTTCTTTGATATTTCTTTTTTCCTTATGAAGTCGTTATTAATCTCTGCCTCGTTATTTCCTTATTTATTTATTGTTACTCCGAGATACTTGAAAGTGTCTGTTTGTTCTATAGATACATCGCGTCCATTTAGTTTAATTTTCCTTTGTACATCGTTTTTTCCGATTACCATTGTTTTAGTCTTGGTTATATTTATTCTTAGGTTCCTTTTTCTGAGCGCCGTATTCCAAGTTTTCCTGTAGTTGTTTTTCGTTTTTAGCACAAATCATTAGATCGTCGGCAAAGGCACATTCCTTTATAAATATAAGAATAATATTTCTATACCCTATTAATAGTTTTTTAGCTTTTTCGTTCACTTCTTTTGTTATGTCGTCTAATATTATATTGAATAGGGTTGGGCTTAGTACTCCGCCTTGTCTTAATCCTTCTTTGGTTTCAAATTCTTCCGACTCTAAGTTGTTGGTTCTGACGTAGTTTCTTGTATGTTTGTATATACTGCCTATGATCCTTATTAGATGTCCGTTGACTCCTCTTTTTTCCAAGCTCTTCCATATTTCTTTCCTTGGTACACTGTCACCTTTTTTATGAATCGGTACTATTATTCCAATTTCCCAGTCTTTTGGTATGTGTTATTCTTTTGTTACTTTATTTATAAGTTGTGTTAGTACCTCCAGACCGTTATTTCCCAAGTTTGTTAACATTTCTGCTGTTATTCCGCCATGCCCTGCTGCTTTTCCTCTTTTTAGCCTTTTTCAGCCACGGTTTTTGTATTAAATTCTTCTTGTTCATTTGGTTCTGTTTCTTCTATATTTTCATTTATCTCTTCATCCCCTTCTCTATTTACTTACTCAATGTTTAATAATTCCTTGAATTATTCTTTCCATCGCACAGTGGGCTAGAGAGCCAATTTAACGCGAAGAAATTATTTGGTTAAGTAATTCTTAGTTAATGTTAATTTTTTAGGTCTTATTGATAAAATTTCAATAAAAATTACTTTTTACTACCAATAGAAAAACAAATCGACAATATAATACTTTAACAAAAGTATATTTGTGTGAAGGCAAAATTAAGATTTAGTTTTAATGAGTAAATTACAAAAATATAACTGAACTATATAAAAATAAAACCTAATTGTTACGTATGACAGTATTTTATACAATAATATTACTTCTGGGCTTTCAGCGTTTTTCTATATTTTTTGAAAAAAATTAAATTTTTGAATTAAGTTTTTTCCGAGATCCATTTACTTTTGTAAATGCATAGTCTACTAAGTAATTTAAAAGCAACTTTCTATTAAAATGCTTCAAACAAAAAATATTTGTGGCGCCTACTAGCACTTGATTTTATATTTATTTAAAAGAATTTAAAAGCTATTAAAAACACTTAACAGAGAGTGTGAGAATGCGTGACATTTTTTAAAACCTTAGTATTGTTCATACATACATAAAAAATATGCAGCGCTTTCTTTATTGAGGTAGGGACAGTACAATAATTATAAAAACTTACCATTATTTGTTTCAGCCATAACGTATGACAGTATCGAATACAATGATGGTCAAAAATTAAAAATAAATGAGGAATTAACATTGTAAGAGAAGCAAAACCTTCACGCGCAATTTACCAACACAAAGCAAGTAATTATAATTCTTAAATTTTGACTGGTTATCTGATAAAAATTTGAAAGTGATATAACATTATTTGATTTGCTACAAATATTAAAAAATTCAAAATTCACTAAATTTTGTCGAAATAAAACACTTACTCATTTTAAATTTTCGCGCGCTGGAAGCGCTCTCTAGCCTACCGCGGTGGTGGCAAAAAGTATTAATATTCACTAATAGTTATCAGTAATTAATTTAAAATTATTAATTGTTATTAGTAGCTTTTTAATTGATGGTTTCCATCACCAATGTATGACAATATTTAGTACAATGATATTTCTTCTGGGCTTCCAGCGTTTTTCTATATTTAAAAAAAAAATTGAATAATTTTTTTTTTCGAGATAGGTACATCTATTTTTGAAAATGGGTAGTCTACTAAGTAATTTAAAACTAATTTTATATTGAAATGCTTTAAACTAAAACACTTTTCACAAATCTCCGTATGAGTTAGGGATAATGTATTAACTGAAAAAAATAAACAAACCATATTTGTTGCGCCTAGTAGCACTTGATTTAAGATTTATTTGAAAGACAGAACGATAAGCTATTAAAAAAACCTAAACACAAAGTGTGACAGTGAGTGACATTTTTTAAAACCTTAATAATGTCCATACATACATTAAAAGTATGCAGCGGTTACTTTATTAAGGTAGTGACATTACAATAATAATAAAAACTAACCATTATTCGTTCCAGCCATAACGTATGACAATATTTAATACAATTATAGTCAAAAAGTAAGAATAAATTAATAATAAACATTGTAAGAGAAGCAATACCTTTACGCGCAATTTATCAACAGGAAGCAAGTAAGTATAATTCCTAAACTTTGAATGGTTACCTGATAAAAATTCAATAGATTTGAAGGTAATTTAAAGATGTTTCATTATCTACAGATATTAAAGAATTCAAAATTCCCTTAATTTGGTCGAAATAAAACACTTACTTATTTAGAATTTCTTCGCGCTAGAAGCGCGCTCTAGCCTACTGTGCATCGTGTCATTATATCTTCGTCTTCTCTTAATATATTTCCATCTTTGAATTTTAAGTATGTTGTTCTCTGGCTTTTCACTTTTCTAATGTTTTTAAGTACTTTGTGGAAAAGTTTTTGGTTACCTTTGCTATCTTGCTCCACCTTCTCTTCAAATTCTTCCCATGTTTTTTAACCAATTCTTTAACCTTTATTCTTTGTGTTTTATATGCATTATAGTTCTCATTGTTTCTATTGCCTAAATACTTGATCCATTTGTTCTTTTTTGTATTTATTTCTGCTTTTATTTCTTCACTCCACCATCTTGTCTGCTTTTTACCTTTATTTATTTTTGTTAATCCGCATGTTATTCTCGCTGTCTCGATTATTGTTTCTTTGAATATTTTCCATTGCTCTTCTAAGGTATTTATATTGATATTTTCTTTAATTTTGGCAATTCCTATCTCTATTTTTTCTCTGTATCTTTCTGCATATTTATTAGTTTATATGTTTGTATCACTTCCTTTTCACTTTGCTTCTTTTTTTGTACAGCGTCACGGCAATTTGTTATTTTTACTTTTGTCATTACCAGGTAGTGGTCTGTGTATAATTCGGCCCCTATGTACCAACAAATAATTCAATACATTGAAAATCCTATAAATATCATTTTATACTTATATGACTATAATATTTAGTAGGTATTAATAATTTTAAAATATATAATGTAGGTAGATTACAGTATATTATGTATCAAGTTTGACGAATTTAATTTTGACACGAGCGAGCTTGCGAGCGAGTGCTTATTTAAATGAGTGTATAGAAAAGTTTATAAACGAGTTGCGTGCTATAATTTTTCTACGATAAATACTTATTATGATCTAAAAATGATTTAAATAAAATATTTGTGTAAAGCGACATCTATAAAAAATTGGGAATCTGTATTATATCAAATGTCTAATTTTTATGTGTATATCGAAATGTATTCTTTGAAATTGGACTGTTTATTTTAGGCAGTGCTGCCAGATTATTTACACTTGTGTGGATAAATATGGAAGCAGTTTTTCACATTGAAAGTAAAAAAAAATGTTTTATTGGCACTCCACGGTGTCCGAAGCCCGAAATTAAGTTAAATCTAGTACAATATTCATATAAACTTTTTAAATATTGAGGTTGAGAAACTATTGAATACATTAGTATTTTTTATTGATATAATAAAATAATTTTTACATTAAGTACTATTTTACAAAAAGGGCACGTATTTTAATGATTGTATGACATTTGACAACTGTCAAATAACTTAAAACTAACTTCTCTGACTAAAAACCTGTTGCTAACAACTTGTCAGTTTGTATTTAAAAGGTCACTTTCTATGACACTATAGTATCATGGAAACATGTACGATTGTGCGTTTTAAAGGTGGGAGTAAAAAAAGTGTACTATTTTGTATATTTAGGTATATTTTTGGAACGCCGTTTTACTATTTAAAAGTACCCAGCTAACATTCTTGATGTCAAGAGAAGATCAAATCTTGATTTGATAAAACTTGCTATCTTATTGAAGTCTAAAGTTGAGGAGGAGCTTGTACAAAAATCAAGACGATAGTCTATTGACATGAAAATGCGCTCACTTACGGATCAAGGCACTATTGACATCATATGAGTTCAAGCTTTGAAATCAAGGCTTGACGTCATATTGAGCTCAGAATTGACGTCACCCTAGATGCGTTTACCATAATAAAATATTATATAAATATTATATAAATAATATTTTTACCATTAACCAAGGGTTGTAAGAAACATTTTTGAGTTTGTTGGTTTGTCGAATTATTGCAATGGTGAAGTACCTATTGTACTAATAAATAGTTGTGATACAACATACGTTTGTTTAAAATTTGTATTGGCCATGGTACTAAGACAAGTTGTCCTAATACCATGTGTATTGGCAATCCATAAGATACATTATTGCTAAAAATAAACCAACTACAGTCTAGACGACATGTTTTAATAATTTGTGAAGTTCTCCCGACAACGTTTCGCCTGCCCTAATACCAACAGCAACATTAAAAAATCCCTAAACCTAGCGAATTTTTTTTTACACATGCTCACCATTATTTTAGCAACAGTCAAATAATGCCAAAATTTGGTTAGTTTTCAAAATTTACTTTAGTAAATACGAGAATATTACTATTTATTTTATTCTTTTCCTCTGTTAAACATTTTACTATATCTGCAAAATATTGTTTTTAGAAATTTAGTATTATTGAAA